ATTCCCTTTTGAAACAGCATCTTTTCCCGATGTGTGGGCCGCACATTTGCATATTGCCAGCTGCTTTGGCAGCTGTACTGCTTGTAAAAGTTCTTTCAGTAAATTGGCATGAGTCACTAGTTTCCCGGTTGATGTTATCATGCCTCTGTTTTTCCAATGTTGTGCAAACGTATGTGTTGTAGCATAAGCATATTGACTATCTGTCCAGATAGTTACTATTTTGTCTTTCATCAATTTGCATGCTTCAGTAAGAGCAATCAGTTCTGCTGCTTGTGCAGAGTAATGTTGTGGTAAAGCTTCCGCTTTTAGAACAGCGGTATGTGTCACTACAGCATAACCAGTTCTTGTTTTCCCTTTTTCATCTTTTTTAGAGGATCCATCAACAAATAATGTTTCTCCTTCTGACAAAGGAGTGTCTTTCAAATCTGGCCTACTTTTAGCAGTTTGTTCAGCCAGAGCCTCACAATCATGAGATTCCCCATCATCTGGTGTGGGGATAAGTGTTGCTGGGTTCAGCACCGTGCAGCGTTCTATTTTCAAATGCGGCTGTGACAGAAGTAAAGACATGCATGAGAGGTGTCTGGCTGGGGATAGAAAAGTCATTTTAGTTTGTAAAAGCAAAGCAGACACCGAGTGGGGAACTTTTAATGTCAGTGGATGGAATAATACTATGTCAGCACTGGACGTTACTGCCAATGAAGCAGCTATCACTGCTCGCACACAGTGTGGAAGTGCACATGCTACAGCATCTAATTTAGTAGAATAGTATGCTATTGGCCGTAATTTATTCCCATGCATTTGAGTTAAGACCGAGGTCATAAAATGACCTTTACAGTCCACCATTTGTACAAATTCTTTTTCATAGTCTGGGAGTGCTAACGTGCAACTGCTCACCATAGCCTGCTTAATGTTACAGAAGGCCGCTTCTGCTTCAGATGTCCATTTTAGGTTGTCTGACATTTTCAGTTCCTCTTTATACATAAGTAAGTTTAACGGTGCAGTTATTTCTGCATAATTTGGTACCCAGCTTCTGCAATAATTAGTGAGTCCTAAGAAGGACATCATTTGTTTCTTTGTAAGTGGCTTAGGCGCATGCAGTATTGCTGCTTTTCTTTCTTCCATTATGGTTCTGCCGCCAGCACTTAATTGATGTCCTAAGTATTTTACACGTTTTTGGCAAAATTGTAGCTTGTTTTTGCTAACTTTATGGCCTTCATCTGCCAAATATTTCAGTAATGCGATTGTATCAATTTCACAACCTTCTTTAGTCTCAGATGCTATCAAAATGTCATCAACATATGTTAATAGTTGGCTTTGTCTAGGTGGTTCAAAGGAGGACAAGCTGGAAGAGATCACTTGGGAATATATCGTAGGACTTTCACAGTATCCCTGGGGTAAACGCGTATATGTATATCGTTTCCCTTTAAAGGTGAAAGCAAACCAGTACCGACTGTCTTTATGTACTGGAACAGAGAAAAAGCATTGCTAATGTCCACTACTGTGAAATATTTAGCTTGAGGATTTAGGGAATTCAATAATGTGTGAGGGTCTGCAACACATGGTGATCTCTGTATTACTGCATTGTTCACTGCTTGTAAGTCCTGAACCATTCGCCATCCTGTTGATGGGGGTGCCTTTTTAACAGGAAATATTGGTGTGTTACAGGGAGAATCTGCACATTCCACCAACACTCCTGCTTTCTTTAAATCTTCAATGACTGGCTCTATGCCAGCTACAGCATCTGGTTTCAATGGATACTGTCTTACCCTAGGACGGTGTTCTGTTTTAGGTCTTATTATCACAGGTAATGCTTTCTTAACTAGGCCTACATCTGTAGGTCCTTGAGACCACAATTTAGCTGGAACCTGCTTCAGCAGTGTTTCCTCTGCTTCTGTGAAATATATCTGTCACTGTTGTTCCTCATCTAAATGGACTCCCGCCTGAACAGTTACTGTCCAGAACAAAGCTTTCTTTGTCAGTTCTGTTGATGCACTGTACCATGTGTTCACAAAGGTTGCTATCCAGTCGCAGGCTCGTTCCCCTCTCTGAACCAATCTCCCCAGGTCTTGCCATTTGTCCTGTTTTGCCTTACATAAGGAAATGTGTGGCTTCCAATGTTGGTGGAACAAGGGAAGCAAAGATGATGGAAGGAGTACTGCTGCTGCGGAGCTAGACTCCACATCAGAGTAAACATAAGAGACTGTGATTTTTTCAGGGGTAGCTTTATCTAGCTGTTGCTTATACTGGGCATCTGGTTGGCCTCTATACCACATGGTTACATGCAGATCATCAGGAGGCATTTGATCTTGTACATTCCTGACTGCCTGTTTACCTTCCTCCATAAGATAAGCTCCAGTGGACGTGGGGGGTTTATTCGGAACATCTAAGGCGTAGTAGTATTTTGGGCTTCCAGTTCCCCTGAGAACAAACACTTCTTCAGGTTTTTGTCTAATGATTTTCAAACCATTTGGAGTTGGCATGATGGCTAGGGAAAGCGCCACCAGGCCATCTCTGCCCAATAGGTTAACTGGACATTCAGGCAACAGTAAAACAGGCAGCTGACATGATTTTCCTTCAGGGTCTCTGAGCCACAACGGCTCAGTCTCTGGAACCTTTTTTGTGACACCTTGGGCCGCACGCACTATTGAGTAATTTGAACTTAAGGGTGCATGTAGTATGGTTTCTTTTACAGTGGTCCTGCATGCTCCTGTATCGCACAAAAACTTCACAGGAGTGCCCTGGACCATGAGGACTATTTCAGGTCTATATTTTTCTTCAAAAAACAAATCTTCTAGGTTTAAGACATCCATATTTTCATCCTCTTTCTCTCTAATAGAAAATGGCTGCTCATCTAGTCATGCTTCAACTGCTTTCCAGTCTTTACACTGGAGTTCCTTCAATAACTTCTGTTTTTCTTTACTTTGCCCCTTTCCCATTTTGAACTAAATTTGGGCCCAGTGGGTTTTCAACACCTGTCGTGTTCTAAACACTGGGGCTTCAGACAAGATGGTGATCAACGACTTTTTGTGGTAAAACTCACTTCAACCCTTACAGGTGGAGTTTTCTTGTCTACAAACATCCACAAAAGCTCACCATTTAACCCTTGTCTTTTTGGTATGAAATACAGATATCTAGTGATATCTATATTTCCTTACACACGCACACACACACACACACACACTCACTGCGCAGTTAACTTTTACTTTATTTCTGTTTACTTATTTTAAACACAGAGGACGCCGCTATCCTATGCAGAATTTAACTAGTTTACAACTCGGGGAGCCTGCCCTTACAAACTAGGGGAGCCTGCCCTCCCACGGACTTTAACTGTTTTAAAATTTCTATTTTACCTGATAGAGTCTAGAATTGTCAGGGTTTTAGTACAAAAGGGGGACCTCGTTACCCCATGCGGAATTTAACTATTTAAGATAGAGGACACCGCCGTCCTTCACGAGGTTTAAACTGTTTGCAAAGGGGAATCTCGTGACCCCACGCTGAGAGGACTTCAAAAGGGGAATCTCGTGACCCCACGCCCTTCACTTCGATGTTTTTTTTCTTTTTTTTTATATTATTATATTTTTATAAATTTTTTTTATATTTTATATATTTTTCTTCCAATAATTCACTCACTCCTTATTAAAAGAAAAACTACTCACAATTCTCTGCGTCCTCGAAATGCTTCAACCGTCGGACCCCAGCTTGTAAGGGAGAGACCAGTCCCGTAAAGGGTCTCTTTGCTGCGGCCGCAGGCTTATCTGGATCTCACTCACCTGCTGGGGGTCGTCGGGTATCTTGCAATCCGGCTCGAAGGACCAATTAATGTTAGGTTTGAACACCAAACACCTTATTCAGCAACCTGCACAAAGAATGACACAGAGAATTTAGTATATTTTACTTGCAAGGAGAGGGGATCAGAAACTGCATTCAGTTACAACTTCAAACCCACTCTGAAGCAGTATCTGCTCTCCAAGCCCTTTATTGAAGAAACGCCCTGATTACAATGTGGTTTCAACCGCTAAAGGGGGAGGGAACAGAACCCAGTTGAAACCAGAATTTTCGTACAACATCATACAACATCATAGGATAAGGAGAACCCCTCTCCTTATCTAGTTGCACAGTTCTCCATTCTCCTCCACACCCTTAACAACATCTGTTAACAGCAGTCGCAGTCAACATCCCTCCTGCACAGACTTAAAAAACATTAATGACACAGCAAACAAAACTAAATGTTTTAACACTCTTTGTAATATGAGTAAGATAGAGATAACAAAATGTATAAGTATAATATGATTAAAGTAATATGATTAAAGTAGAATAACTTATGTACAATTAATTAACCCAACAGTAGGAACCATCACTACAAGAATAGAAATGATCTCTTGTCTTCCATCATCGGCCAGCTTTGCCTTGAAGATGATAAGGCTGCTAATAATAAGAGCCTCAGCTGCTTGTGCTCACTCTTGACAGAGGAAGTAATTAAGTTCTAGCAGTTTATCAATGGTCAGCCGGAGATTTGCTGTCTTTGGGGTGATAAAGAGAAGCTATGGGGGGTAGTGAGGCATGCCCTTACTCTCAAGTGTCCACTCAGTGCTATTTTTCATTTAATCTCACCCTGACTTTGACTTGTTCTCTTTTCACTATGCATAGGGGAAGCCCAAAGCGGGTCAAGGCTGAGAGCCTTCTTGTCAATCACCCCCAGAAACACCCCTTCCCCCGCTCTCCTCAGATGTCCAATAAGACTAATTTTAGCTTGTTGTGAAATTGGCACAGAGTTCCTAAGCGTGCCACCGTTTGGATCTATTCGGACTGGCCGTGTGCTTAGAAAGCACGTTTCGTCTCCTGTTTTCTTTTGGCACAGATGTTCCCATGTGACTTCTATTTTACAGAGATCCGGATTAACATTGGCATGGGTATTTGTTGGGAAGGCAGCATAGATGCGGGTTTTTAAAATGCCTTTCCATTTTTAACCTTCAGAAAGTAGTCGACTTATGCATCTCGTTGCATATCTGAGCATCATGAAATTACACAGAGGTACATGAAGTCACTGCTGTTCAGACAGCTTACTAACACCATGGAAAATGAAAATAACACTGAAGCTATGACAGATCATAATGATGTGTATGAATTAACCTTTTAAACTGTTCTATAACTTCCCACTATCTGGATTTAATATAGCTACATCTAAATAGCCCCTGAGTAATGTTATTATAGAAGTATAATATATAGAGAGGCTGGCAACTCCAGAACAAGAGGAGCTACAGATCTTTAGCTAATAGCTGCAATTCAAAAATATGGCCTTAATGGAACGTGGCAAGAATAAAACTATTGTTTCTCAAAGCCCATAAGAAATTGTATTTTCAATTTGCAAGAAATGTGGAAGAAGTTACTTCAGTCAGATGAGACCAAAATGTCATTTTTTGCTTACAAGTATAATCTTACGAATGGCAGGAAATCTAATATATCACATCACCCTTAAAATACCATACCACACTTAAATGCTGTAGCAAATGGATCATATAGTACAACAGGAATACATTCTTTAATAACAAAAGTGATGCAACATGGTGATGCAACATGGATGGAGCTAAATACAAAACAGCCATGGCAAAAAAAAAAACAGTTAGAGGCTACAAATCACATGAAGGTGGGACTCAACAAAACAGCCACACTCAACCAGAGACACATAATCATTGCAGCGTTCATATGTAAAACTTGCCCAGTCAAATCCAAAAGAGGAGCTGGTGAAACTTAAAAAAAATAAGTCTAAATCACCCTAAACTGTTTCAAAAGTTGTTGTGTACATATTATTTTAAGATTTAAATTAATATGACATTTTTATTTGTCAAACTTTAATTAACCAGAAAAATCTCCATTGAGAATTCTATTTTTTTTTCTCGAAAGAAATCTAGCAAACTGGCATAGTAGTTACTGTACTGGTTTAAAGTGGTTCTACAACAGCTTTTGATCAAATTTTTTGAATGTGGAAGAGCTGGTTATAAGCTAGGATAATTTTCAAATATGACCTAGAAAAGCCCAGAAAGATACAACCATTGATCCATAAAATCTTAAAGCTTATCCTATTCTTGATAGAGTTAGACCAGAATGATGAGAGGATCAGCAGATCTTTCCACTGCAAATAAGGTAACTGTTGCCAGTAATAACTTAAAGATTAAGAACTAACGCTTTAACACAGAATTGCACATCACTTTCTGTATTATTATTTGTTGAAATTATTTAAAATTCTCATACTTATGGACTACTTTTGAATAGAATAGAATGGCTAGCAAATGTTAAAAAAAAGGTTTAAGGGGTATGAATACTTCAGCAAAACAGTGCAGGAAGGCTTGGAAATACAGAATTTTATTTGAGAATTTGATTCTGAGGTAGAAACAGGAGAGGCTGAAAAATGGGATCCTTTATTCTTTGAATATTACATAAATGTGTTACATCTTTTTTTATCTTACCATGCAGAGGTTGACCTGCAGCTACAGTTGGCCCCCACTTAAATATGTTTCTTTCCATGCAAACGCATTTGTTTGTCTGGCTGGGTTTTAATCTTCACTACAGAGGTTGCCTCAGGATGAATATGTTATAAAACGAAGACGCTCAATGCAATATGAAACCAAACCATTTTACTATGAGAGAATTTGCAATAAACTAACTAGAAGTATTTGGGCTTTTGTTTACTTTAGTAAAAAGTGATTATTTTTCTAAGAATTTTTTAACTGAAGTTTTAAACGAGATAAACACACTCTGTGATGATCAGATTAAGTCTTTACTTCCTAAGGCCACAGAAAAGATGATTGCATAATCCTCTGTGTGTATGTGTTTCATATTTTAACAGACAGTGAGATGCTCCCTTTGGACTGCTTGCGCCCTCGTTCCTTTCCTGCCAGCCATCGATCTTCAGTTCGGAGGAACAGTCATGACCCTCGCCTCACCATCAGCCTGTGTGACCTGAGCCTGCAGCAAGAGATGCAGCTGGAAGAAGAGGATGAGGGGGAAGAAGAGGAACCACTCCAGCCCTCTTGCCATATTCCTCAGAACTCCCAGAACTTGCAGCAATGCTCCCTGCTGCCCAGCCACTTGGACACTGATCTACAGTTTCACTCTGTTCATGGCCTCCATGTTACTCCACTCGATATGCACACAATGGCTCGACCAGATCAGCGGGGAGATGAGAGGACCCTGGTGTTTACCAGCCGCCCAATGCACAGTTCAGAGACTGTTTTTATGAAGGTGAAGAAAGGAGGCACGCGGGCAGGGTCTCTTTCTTACGGTGTGACTTCTTGTGACCCCGCCACCCTCAGGCCCAGTGATCTCCCATCAAACCCAGAATCCCTGGTGGACCGCAAGGAATTTTGGGCCGTGTGCAGGTTGGCTGTCAAACTCCACAGCGGGGATATTCTGAGCTTCATGGTGAACTCAGATGGCGAGCTTATGATGAGCCATAATGGGAACAATGCAGGCATGCAGCTGTGTGTCGATAACTCCAGACCACTCTGGATGTTCTACGGTCTACATGGCTCCATCACACAACTCCGAATTTTAGGTATTCAACTTCCTTTGTTTTAATCATTATTTTGTTAATTGTCATATATATAATATGCCACTGTGTTTTTCTCCCTTTTTACCTTAAAACTAAATGCAGCCCTAAACATCACCAATCTTTGAAATGGTATGCACAGAAGAGAAAATAACCAATAAATAAATTAGTACTTATTATAGAAGAATTGATAACAGATAGTTTTGTTTTAATATAATTAATCACAATACTTCAACTACTGCTTGTATTTCTAGTGCTAGTGTTCTGAACCCATAATTCTTGGCTCCTAGGTCTGATAAATTCAGTTTAAGTAGAAAAAATTATTAACTGTCTTTCAGAAAATTGGCTGAAAAAATGTTAACTTAGGACTCTGTCTTGAAATCAGTTTAAAGGCTTTATAGTTTCCAGTTATATTTTCCTGATAAAATGTGATGGTCCTGGTGTTGATACACTCTGGGAAGAGAAATCTAAACTAAAATTTAAGAAAATACCTGCTTGCTTTGAGGTGGAAGGGGTATAATTGGATTTTGGTCAAAGAATTTGACTTGAATGGTAAGTTTTAGTATTATCAACAGGCTAACTTTTAATTTCCCTGCTGTCTTCCAGAGATCTACAAAGGATGTCGTTTACAGCTCTCCATTCAGAGGTTAATGTAGTTTAGGACTGTTAAATAACCTTTTACTGGCCTAATTCCCACTCTTTCAAATCATAAAAAAGTTTCTCATCATTTGCTGTCTTGGCTGCACGTTGACTTTTTATCAATGCAAATATCAGCAAAAAATTTGAATGTAGTTATATAAATTTGAATATGACTGTTAGCTTTAAGCCTTCAGTTAAACAGAAATTTTGTCACGTTTGTTTTGTTCCAATAGATCCCATTTATTGATTTTAGGCTTAACTCCTTTTTTTTCCCAGAGATTACCCATCAAATCTAAAGTTTCTTAAAATGTAGTCAGAACCCCCATAATTTTTAGGACCTCTAGTAAAGATTAGATTAGATGAGCTTTATTGATCTCACAGCGGAGAAATTCACTCGTCACATATTGGCATAATAATAACAGAAGGTGCAAACAAGGAGGAAAAAGGTGCATTAAGAATAAGCAATATATATATATATAGTATATTCAGGTATATACAGTATATCAAGATAAATAAGGATTAGGGTGCAAGTGTACATGTATCGTCCCACAATGAAAAACAAAATAAAAATAAGAAATAAAAAATAAAAGTAAACATGTCTAAAATCCTCATAATTAATGAAAATAGGATATTTTCATAATGGAAATTAAAAAATATCCAACATCACATTGGATTTTAGTACTTTATTAATAAAAAGGATTACACAAGTAGATAATTGCCCATCACCAGATAACAATTACAAAATAGCATTTTAATAAACCAATAAACCTAATAATCATATTGTTCAAGTATGGAATGAAGCAGGGAAACCAGAGAGTAACCACACAAGGTCAGAGGGAAAACCCAAACTTCACTCCCATAGACAATCAGGCTGGGACCTAAACCTGGGAATTTAACACTAGTAGGCAAGATTGTATACAGAGACCTATGAGATAAACACACTGGAGTTGGTAACCTATATGTATATACGTGTATATGTATATACATGTATATATATATAAAATAAATAAAGATGACTTTTACTGAAAATTGACAAAAATTGAATTGAATGGTTGTCCTAGTTTTCCTCCTATTTTTTTCCTGGGTGCTCTGCTCTCCTCTCCAATCTCCCATGCAGTCAGCCAGACCAACAGCTCAGGAGGGTATTTCTGTCTTGCGTGGGCTCCCAGCAGCCAGCATTATGTACCAGAAGGGAGCCTGTGATAGTTTCCTATGATGCCCCCCTGATGCATTATTAAATTATAATTGCATAGAGATTTGCTGTGCAGGGTTTGCCACCCACAGCCAGTTCAACTAACACTAGCTTCATCTCTGTAGTTCCTTACTTTTTCTTCTCCCCTTATGCAGTTTATTTAGCAACCCCCCCACCCGCTACATACACCCACACACACACCCACATTTGCAAACACAACCATCACTCCACTGTGATTCTCTGGGGTATGTCCCTGGAGTCGTTACCCACTCCAGCTGTGTGTGGGGGGTGATGCATTTGTGACGGGATGTCTAAACTCACCCACACCCGCTTCAGTTGCATGGTATATGTTGCTATGGAGACATGTGGCAACTGAAGCAAGTGACAGTTTTGTCATGGGTGGGTGCTGTCAAGCCTGTGAGGTGGAACAGATGGGAGTCTGCTGCTGTCACATGGTCACTTTGTCTATTTTCTATGATTTAACTATTTCATGCTAGATATTTAAATACACTGATGGTGTTATGCTGTCATGTATCTCCTTTGCATGGCACCTTCATTTATCTACCCGGCTGCTATCATGAAGCTGATATGTTTATACGTTACAACACGATTGTTAACAGCACTGATGGGTAACACTGCTCATCTTGACAAAGTGTTTTGCTTTACTAGAAAAGCAGCATTCTAATATCTATAAGAATGTTTTTTAGACAAATGCCAACAAACTAAACATTGAAGAAGGCCAATCACCCCCCCTACAGGGCAGCACCAGCAGTGTAAATAAGCACACTTGTCTCTAAAGGATAAAATAGGGGTTCCGGGGAATTTATTCTGAACAAATATATTAACACAGTTTGAGGTCTTTGCTTGGTTTTAATAAGTGAATTCTGCCAACATATGCTGATTAGGTTAAGTTGAAACTTCCCAGTGGGACAAAGGCCCTACTAGCTTCTTTAGACAATGGATATTGCTGGATATTATATGGTTATAAGAATAACATGGGCTGAATTAAAAAGCATGCTTTCTGATTTATTTATTTTGTTTATTAAAATGTCAAAGGTAACCTAAAAACCTCACCCCATCCTCACCTATATTTGAATCATCTTGTAATCATATTTGCATTTAAGCAACATCTGTATTCCAGAAGCTGGTGAAGGGCAGCAAGATGGTAAATGTCCATTCTGCAATTGGCAGAAGAATGTTGTAACTACTCAGCGTGTAGACAAGCAGTTTGCCATGTAAACTCATAAAATGATATATTGCTACATTTAATAAACAAGAGCTGGAAGTCACTAAACACTACAGGCTCAAACACAAATAGGTCTCTGTGAAACATTAAACACAGCTACAGACAACAACTGCCACAATACCAACAATAAATTCAGGAGATGAAAGGTACCCTTGATGAAAGGGTGCATGGTCATGGACATGAAGCGTATCCATTCTGCCTTATTAGTGTTCACCAAGGCATTTGCCCTTGGTTAAACCACCAAAAGGTCAGTTTAAGGTGGTAATGTACAGGTTCTGTAAACATGTGTGCACCCCTGTCCTGTCTGTAATACAATAATCAATATATGATCCTGGCAGATGGCGTCTCAGCAAAGTGATCATCATCAATCTCAACACTGACCTTAAAGACTAATAAGTGACTGAAAGACATGTCCATGTCCTCTTTCTGTGCTGACCTTTTTCTTATTGCATAAAAAAAGTAGGATAGTGTGTTAATGAAAGCTCAAACTGAGGAAACACAACATATAAGAATTGCATGCTTTGTGTTTTTTTTTTCTGTTTTCACACCATAAGTGCATGTGTATCTTTTTCAGCCTCTGCTCTTTATAGCACTTAGAATAAACACAATGTTTTCAAAGAACATCAGCATCTTGATGCTGGTGCTGAGTACAGTAAACGTTCAGTCAGATCATAATGATGTGAGTCAACTGTGGTCAAAGATGATATGTAGACATGGGGGAACTTGGTCAATATTTCTGTGTTTGAGGAAAGATGATCTGCCAGTATGAGAAGCAATGCCTGTGCCGGTGGTTATAAGGTAAGGATGGGGATGGATTGTATGGATCAGACAACAGATAGTCTGTGGAAGTTGTTTTTTACCTAACCCAGAGGGATCATGGGTTCATGAAGAAGGAAGGAAGGGAGGGGGAATGTAAGCTCGTGACTCACTCTTTTACACCCACACACATACACTGTGGACTCACTAGTCATCTACTTGGTGATGGAGATGAATTAATGTGTTTAAGAGAAATAGAAGGATGGTATGATGCAGTTAAATGAGCAAAACATCTACTTTGCAGCTACATTTCCCTGTGTGTAGGTTAATGTACCCGTTTTTACTATTCTAAAACTGTTATTTATACATATATAAAAGCAGATCTCAGTGGAGCCATTTTTAGCACTGCTGCCTTGCAGCAAGAAGGATTTTGGGTTCCATATCCGACCCGGGGTCTTTCTGCAGGGAGTTTGCATATTCTCCCTGTGCATGTGTGGGTTCTCTCCGGGTACTCTGGCTTCCTCTCACAGTCAAAAAACATGACTCTTAGCTTAAATGGATTCTCTAAATTCTCCTTAGGTGTGTGTGTGTCTCCTTAGGGTTGTTTGTCCTGTTTGTTTCTGTGTTTCCCTGTGATGGACTGGCCACCTGTCCAGGGTCTACGCCACCTCTCGCCCAAACACAGCTGGAGATAGGCACCAGCACTCCTTGCAACCCCAGCAGGGATAAGCGTGATGGAAATTGGATGGGTGAATGGATGAAAGCAGATCTTAACTCGAGTCTCTTCTCTCTATCCCAGGTTCAGCTTTACCTACAGATGCTCAAGGCCCATCGGTGCCTAGCTCCCCATCATGTACACCCAACACCCCAACAATGCTATGCAGTGGAAACTCTGGGTCCAACCTCAACACCGCTCTGAACATCAGTCTGAATTCAAGCCTTAACTCTAACTACCACATGCTATTTTCTACGTCCACAGGTTAGTCAAAGATTTACTGGAATGTAAACGTTTCTTTCACTCTTTTATTCTGCAGTCATGCAAGTTTAAGCTTCAAATATTCTGATTGTTTACTAATCTGAAAAACTTCCTACCCTCGTAATGCAAATCAGTTGAAAATTAAACACATATTTAGAAGCCATTTTTGACAAAAAATAAGAAATTGATAAATAACTAGGGGGGGTTATTCTGTCGGATGAACACATCAGACTCTTTTTTTTTGTATCGTTTGACCTTATCCTAAGCTGTTTAGATTAAGAAAAGGACTTTTTAAAAGCACATCTTATTGTAGGATTGCAATTACTCTAGCAGCAGCAGCCAATCTCTTGTGTCTAATATGTGGTGCAGAATATTAAGTTTAATTTAGACATTACTATATGCTCAACCTGTAACATTTCTTACATGTAATCATTCTTATTTTTCTCTTCTCTCCATGCTACCAGGTACAACCCCAAGCTCCCCGGTTTCTAGCCATTCACTATCCCCGACCTTCCCATCCTGTTCTAACTCTTGGAGTGAGGACTGCACCATCTGCTGCGAGAACATGGTGGACACTGTACTTTATGCCTGTGGTCACATGTGTCTTTGCTACGCCTGTGGCCTGAAGCTCAAGAAGATGGCCAACGCGTGCTGCCCAATCTGCCGACGGACAATCAAGGACATCATCAAGACCTACAGAAACCCGTAGGTTTGCATTTGACATTGCAAACTGATTAAAGACTTTTCAAAGGCAGCACAAATGATGATTCGGCTCAGGTACTCTACAACAGGACTTCACGCTCAATTATCAAAACCTTTTGTCCAAATCATTGGAGACACAATAAAAAGCCATTAAAAGGCATATTAAGAAGCTAAATATGGTCAAAGCAACTTGCCAACATGCCTCAAATCACTTCATGCAGAAAAGAAAGACTCTTCTAAAAAGATGTATGTTCTACTTCATGCGGAATAAACCCCCATGATCTCCTCATCCAGGTTAATTCTCTCCCTAAACTGAGAGAAAATTAAGGAAGGCTGGTTCTATTTATGTAGAGAAGACATCCGGATTTCCAGTGGAAAAAATAAGTGAATAGGCTGAGAAAAGCTACCTTTAGCAATGCAATAAACCCCTAAGCTCTCAGTGTACAGATAACCGTAAAGGAACTATAATGTGTAATAAGGGATGTGTTTTGCAGAATATCCCACCACCTGAAGTTCTCTGAACCCCAGGCAGAGAGGGACTGTGCAAAGAGTGCAAAAAAATAAGAAAGCTGTCACTAGAGAAGGTCACGCTTGATAAGGATCGAGGATGTGAATCAAGGAAGATGGAAGCTAAGGAGGAAGGATGACGTAGGTTTGAGACAGATATAGGGGAAGGAGGTAGTTCAGTGGTCTGTGCCTGTTCTGGCGAAGAAATATTGGTTCATTCAGATGTTGAGATACATATTCTGGTTTTAGCTGTCATTCCCTCCTCTCCTGTGGGTGGCTGTTTGCTAACCCTCCACAAAAAGTCATCTAAATAAAGAGTGGTAGTGTAGGTACTGGAATATTTTTTCCATGAAGGTCTTAAATCAAGCTTTCCTTCACTGTAAGAATCACTTAAAGGCCCATAGCCATATCTACTTCTTTCAGGTTTATCTGTTCTCTTTTTGTTTCAGTGGGATTTTAAAACTGTAACATTTGATTCAATATTGGTGTATTTATGTGCATAGCATCTTTAAGCTGGTGCAAGTGTGTAATCAGTAAAAAAGATGCAACAAATGTGAGAATTTCATGTGCATATCATTCTCCGAGTGCTGCTCCCCATCTAAAAAAGCTAACATATTTTTATGTCTGCTCATGTACTCAAGACCAATATTTGATTAGCTAAGAATGTTCTGAAACATTACAAGACTCGTGTATTTTTGTAGATATTGATTTGTGCTTTAAAACTCATCATCTCATCACAGCAGGAGGAACATTTGCAATTTATAAGTATATTGTGTAACATTAGACTTAGTTTGCTGAGTTTGTGTATTAGGCAGTTTACTGTGAAAACCAAAACTGACATTAAGATTAAATTTCATTATATAGTTTTTTGTGTGTTTTTTGTTGTTTTCAGAACTTAAGTTGATTTACACAAGTACAGAAATACAAATTTGTTATACTTTATGTAAAAGTGAACACGTCATCGATGATACATGACAAGGTAATTTTTTAATCCTTAAAATTCTAGGCTTGAGTTTCCAACAAATTAGATGGATGGATGGATGGATGGATGGATGGATGGATGGATGGATGGATGGATGGATGGATGGATGGATGGATGGATGGATGGATGGATGGATGGATGGATACTGTGCATTGCTGGAATGTTGTTTTTAAATATTAGTAGATGCTCAGTTTTTTCATTAAGACCAGATATGTTTTCTCTCCTAACCAAAATCAGCCGAGCAGAAATGAAACATTTGTGTATTTTTGATTGAAAAATAAGCCACTCATGGAATGAAAGTTTGCTTGTACATTTTAATAGCTCCTTTTTAATCTTTTGACATTAGTATTATACTTATCGCTTCATCATTGTTCTATTTATGGATAAGTTAGGAAAGTTTTCTATAAATCTTCATAGGTTTTGGGCTATACGAGTATGGTACAACAGATCTATTGGGTGATTGCTGATAGAAAGAGTTTTTCCTGGATATTTTTTTTTTTCAATTCCAGGCATTTCAGGAAAGGTCATAGTTACCATGCCCTGTTCAGCACATGAGGAAGCATACCTAAATTTAACGGGAGCGTACATATTAAAAAATTGAAAAGTAGAATAAATTGTACACAATCATTTGAAATGTTTACTCACATTTAAGCCATCCCATCCAACAGAGTTATTTTTAAATAAAAAACACCCAGCAGAGAAAATAAACTACTCTGAGTCTCTGTAACAAAGGTAATATTATACTATAGTGTTTGAGGTTTTTATTTTTTGCTATACGCCAAAAAATAGCAAGCAATGAATACATCTTGAACCTTGAATCATCACATTAAGCCAGATGAAAAGCCTTTTTCTGCTCAAAGGCCTAAAAATGTAATAAAAGGTATTCAAAATTGTGCATATGCTCTAGCAAACTGAAATGTGGTAATATGTAAATTTTGATTGTAACGTGTATTGCAATAAGATAACTAGCATCTATTTTTGCTTGTAAAGAGCCAAGCAACCTGCGTACATCCTATCTATATTTTTTTTTAAAGGAAATTGAGCCATACAATTTTTAGGGATGTACAATTTTCTCAAAATGCAGCACCATTTTTTTCAAATAAAAGAGATATCAGAAAATAAGTTAGAAAGTACACAGGGGGAAGAAAATGTGTTTTTGTGCGCTGTTTTGTTTATAAAAGCTTTTAAAATAATCTAATCATGTCTGGATATGAATTATGTTCTATTTGTTAATAAAGTCTGAAACACTGCCTTGCGTCCCATTGTTAGTCATTATCACATGAAAAAAAGAATAAACAACCACCTTAGCAGCTCTAGATGATGCTTACTAAAGAAATTCTTTACTTATACTGTAGATTGAATCAGTAGGTGTAAATTGCAATAAAAAGAGGGTACTAGTGATGTCACTGCTGAACCTCTTTTGCATTAAGAAGGTATAAGATTGGTTCTATATCATTATGTTATATTCATAAACTTTTATGTCAGCAGTTCACTGCAAAAAATATAAATCTCAATAAGTTATTTTTTCTTAAAATAAGTGTGTTTTTCCTTGATTTGAGGAGGTAAGTAAGACACTTTGCCAATGGAACAAGACAATTTCCTTTTAAAATAAGAAAAAACTATTTTATCGTCTTATTTCAAGTAAATATTATCTAACTATCTTATTTTAAGAGTGAAAATACTCATTCCATTGGCAAATCATCTTATTTACCTGCTCAAATTAAGGCTAAATATACTTAATTTAAGCCATTTTTTACTTATTTCTGGATTGTTTTTGCAGTGTTATTGGGAAAGAGCTAGAGGCTAACAGTGACTCTTCACTGCACATCGCCTCTTCTTCCAAGTATACTTGACTAACATTGCGCCATATACTATACGAATAACAGAGACAAGAGGTTTTAGTAAACGACCATTACTCAGAGACAGTGTGTTTACATTTGTGGTGTGTAGAGCTGGCTACAACGAGCATCATCTGTTTTTAACAGGCTGAGGGGTTCTGCTTCAGCACCGTCTTAGGGTCCAATCCAACAGGCGCTAGCAGAGCCCTTGACGTCCAGACATGAAACAGGGCTGCGGTAACTGCCACTCGTGTTTGAGTTTTCTCAGAGGGAAGAAGAAAATGTGTAGATAAAGGCTGTAGAGATGACATGAATGCATCGCATCCCGTTGGTGTCTGTGTACACAGAGTTTCCACTTTAAGCCTTACAGTGAACCTGGCCGCCGGCCTTCTAAGGGCTCAAAGGGCTTGCCAGACACGTTCAAGCTGAGTTGTACAATCTCTGCCAGGCAGCTGCTTGGCCAAACACAAAAAACATCTATTAGGATATTAAGTTTGGTTTGAAAAAAAAAATTCTAGGCAGTATTGATTTTGAATTTTAACCTGCTATTAGAGAACCTAAGTCCTAGTTTTCTTTTCTTCATGTTGGGTCTGTGTCAGTGAAATATAAAACCTTCGCTCTGTGCAATTTATGACAAGGAGGGACAAACTGTATATCAAGTACAGTTATGCTGTCAATTGATTGCTGTCATTTCGACACTAGGCCTATTTAATTACTGATTTGATGAAGTTCCAAAGTATGCTCTGATAGTCTGTTTAATCCCTACTGAGATGCTGTGCAATATTGCCCTCCAGTGGTCAATAGTATATTTGCACTATCAATGTCTGTATACAGTACAACATCCTGTTTTTAAGTGTAAAACAATGAAAAAGCTAAATTAAGTGAAAAGCTAAACATTGATCTCAGTTTTATATTTTCTAATGTTTTTTACCTTCTATTTTTTATTATGATTATTTACAGTTTACAGCAACTAAAAATAAAGAAAAAAGAGCTTCAGCTTAGACAAAAATTAATGACAAAATGCATTGAATATTTTTCACTACTGAATTCAATAATACCATTATGATCATTATAACATTTAAACCTTCTTATATTAGTAGCTGATCACATATTTTCCCATTCTTATTTATATTTTAAAAATGTAGATTTGATGAAGAGCCTTTATGGCTATGAGGCCTCCTTCCCCCTTAACCCATCTTAAGCTCCCTCCATAGATTATCTATCAAATGAAGGTCAAGACTCTGAGTAAATATTTCCATTATGCATGTCATAATACTTTCAGTCAGAAAAGCTTGCCATTATAGTTAAAATATTCATTTTGACCTCCTCAACAGCTCAGATATCACACATTATTTAGCTAAAATATATTTTTTAAACATCTGACTTTATCAAAGATTCACCTGTCAGCTTAGCTCATACACAGTACCTCTTTAGCTGATAAAAAGATTAAAAAAAAAAAAAAAAAAAAAGGAATCAGTTAAAATTTAAGAAAGAGGATAATAGACCCCATGAATCTTGTTCATCCTTGAGGTACATTAATTTTTTTTTAAAGATTAGCTGTAACTAAGTGAAGCAGAAGGTAGTAAGATAGTCATTTGGAGTAAAGGAGTGATAAAGCAAAGCCACTCTGGAAGGAAGAAGTCAGTAATCTAAAGGCAACATGAAAAGCCAAACGACGTTTTCAATGTGCACTGAGGTACTAAAAACTTTTATTTTTGAGACCATAGAGACTTGCTCTACGGTCTGTAGAAATAAACATAGAAGAGTATGGCCATGATGGCCGTGATTAGATTTGGAAAAAGAGGGAAGCTTACAGGTGTGACATGATCATCAAAAATCTGAAGTACAATAGATGTAATATATTCCGTTTTAGGGTGTATTTTGCTATGGGGGTGAATGATTCACTTCACAAATTAGATGGCACCATGAGTAAAGAATATGGAAATATTAAAGCGACATTTTCAAGACATTAGCAAGGATGTTAAGACTTTGGCCACAAATAGATCTTCCATTTAAACCTATAAATTATAAATGATAATTTGTGCTTAGTTGCTGCTTAACAGCCTGATCCGGTGGGGGAGAATTTCAGTCCGGATGGACGTTTCTCCCTGGCTCTACCTTGGCAGCACTGTGGTTCTGCCTTTCTTATACCTCATCCAGAATGCTTAGGTCATCCTGAGCTATTTTCTGCATTTGTGCTGCTGTGGACTTGGACTCCTGGAAGACATAGGGACGCCTTTTCATCATTCTGCGTCATTCTATATCAGTTCTCCCATTCTGCAGTGTTTGTTGGTTCAACCTCTGGTTTAATTCTTCTCTCTACTTTTTCTCATAGATTTAACTGGTCTTGTCCTGTTTGGCTGTGACACCATAATGGAAAGAACTATCAGCTTTGCTGCTGCCTTCAACACCTTTGTTTATAGATGTTGGAGCTTGGCCTGTTTTTCAGTGTAGTACTGTTTCTCTGACTGTGACTAACTGGATGTGCTCTACATCCTCTGACATGGGAGCTGGCCTGGAGCTCATCTAGCTGGCTGTGTGTTTCCTGGACGGTGCAACAGGTGGAGCTGATTGACAGTTGCCTTTTGTATCATTGCTACTTTCTGTATGTCTGCTTCTGTCTCCTTGGAACCCAGTTGGCCTCAGCAGATGGCCGCTCACACTGAGCGTTTCTGTGAAAAGGGAATTTTCCCCTCCACTGTCGCTAAAAGCATGCTTGGTGTGAGGGATTAATGTCGAGTCAATGAGTCGATGCAATCAGCTGGTTTCCTTAGATAGAAACATTTGAACCAATCTGCCTGCATGGTCTGGTTGAATTGTCTCTGTAAAGTGCCTTCAGATAACATGTGTTGTAAATTGGCGCTATATAAATAAACTGAATTGAATTGCACAATGACCCAAGTCTTACAACTAAACTACTTACAAGGTGACTTAGGACAAAAATAAAAAGCCACACTAATAATTTTGGCAGCTTGCAGAAAACAGGAAAAATGTAATGTCACTAAATGTCAGACATCCATCCATCATCTGTACCTTATTCCCACAACGCAAGGAAGCGCAGAGACATATAGGACAAACATTTTATGCATACACTTGTAACTAATGGAAAAGGGAATGTGTTCAGACTAAATAAATGATGTGTAAATGATGGGTGGATGTAAAGGAATCTTCAGTCGGTCCATGCATAACTAGTAGATTTTTCTCTGAATGTGGATGTCTTTTCTAATGTTTATCACCTTGTACATTATTATTTTGACGTGGAAAAACAATAATTTACATATTTGATATCATAACTGGATGTAATTTTGCTAGAAGCACCTAATCTGATAAATAATGTTTGATGATGGAAACTCTATCCATATTCTTCGGCTTTTCCGCCAGGGTCACTGTGAAGCTGGTTCCTATTTGCAGCAGACTATGGATGAAAGGCAGAGTACACCCTGGACACAGGGCGACAGAAATATGTACCGGTACAACCATGTATACACAAAAAATGACAAATGAGAGATACCAATTAACCTAGTTAATGCATGAGTTTGACCATGTTAGGAAGACATAGTACCCAGAGAAAACCCAAGCATTTACAGGGAGAACATGCAAACTCCATGCAGAAAGACCCCAGGTTGGGAATTAAACCCAGAACCTTCCTGCTGAAAGGCTGTGCCACCTTGCAGCCCTTTGGCACCTCTCAGTAAAACTACTCCAATGTTTAAGGTTCCTGTTAATCTGTTACATTTTGCGGTATTATAGACCATAGTTTTAAAATGCCACAATTAAAAATGTCAACACTTTCATTTCTTCTTTAGATTTAAATTAAGAAGCTTGGTGAACAAAACATAATTGTTTTCCTAAATCTTAAGCAACTTCTAGCTAAAATTAAGGCTATACACATCAAACAAGATATATTTTACAAACAAATCTAATCATATTCTTATCTTTGTTTATCAGTCTACATCTTGATGAGAGATTATTCTTCATATAAACACTCTGCATTCTATGGTTGGAAAGAACTTAGTTGTTTCATTATCTCAGAGATTATGTCTTGTAATAACTTGTCATTATATTGTTCATTATTCAAGACATTCATTTGTAATTAGATCATTACTTTTTTCATCATTATTTTATGCTAATTGAGATGGCTGTATTTAATAACATTATGCAGATGCATTTTGTTTGCCTGTTGTCAATATGTGCAAAAAAAAACACAAACAAAACAATAATATACTACTCCTTACGTTTTTCTGCAGTCATTTTGGACAGAATTTTTACAAAGGAAATGTTGCTATATTGTACAAAGGCTATTTGTGATGCAACACAAAATGCATATTGGTTTAAAAGTGCATTTATTAGAGTCGTTTTTGGCACTTCAGTTATTATAACTGGTCACACATTTTGCAATAAACAAGAAATGA